GCTGGGGTGTGAGGGTAGCTGGGGTGTGAGGGTAGCTGGGGTGTGAGGGTAGCTGGGGTGTGAGGGTAGCTGGGGTGTGAGGGTAGCTGGGGTGTGAGGGTAGCTGGGGTGTGTGGGTAGCTGGGGTGTGAGGGTAGCTGGGGTGTGAGGGTAGCTGGGGTGTGTGGGTAGCTGCTGGGGTGCTGGGGTGTGAGGGTAGCTGGGGTGTGTGGGTAGCTGGGGTGTGTGGGTAGCTGGGGTGTGAGGGTAGCTGGGGTGTGTGGGTAGCTGGGGTGTGAGGGTAGCTGGGGTGTGTGGGTAGCTGGGGTGTGTGGGTAGCTGGGGTGTGAGGGTAGCTGGGGTGTGAGGGTAGCTGGGGTGTGAGGGTAGCTGGGGTGTGAGGGTAGCTGGGGTGTGAGGGTAGCTGGGGTGTGTGGGTAGCTGGGGTGTGAGGGTAGCTGGGGTGTGTGGGTAGCTGGGGTGTGAGGGTAGCTGGGGTGTGAGGGTAGCTGGGGTGTGAGGGTAGCTGGGTGTGTGTGGGTAGCTGGGGTGTGTGGGTAGCTGGGGTGTGTGGGTAGCTGGGGTGTGAGGGTAGCTGGGGTGTGAGGGTAGCTGGGGTGTGAGGGTAGCTGGGGTGTGTGGGTAGCTGGGGTGTGAGGGTAGCTGGGGTGTGAGGGTAGCTGGGGTGTGTGGGTAGCTGGGGTGTGAGGGTAGCTGGGGTGTGAGGGTAGCTGGGGTGTGAGGGTAGCTGGGGTGTGGGGGGTAGCTGGGGTGTGAGGGTAGCTGGGGTGTGAGGGTAGCTGGGGTGTGAGGGTAGCTGGGGTGTGTGGGTAGCTGGGGGTGAGGGTAGCTGGGGTGTGAGGGTAGCTGGGGTGTGTGGGTAGCTGGGGTGTGGGAGCTGTGGGGTAGCTGGGGTGTGGTAGCTGGGGGTGTGAGGGTAGCTGGGGTGTGAGGGTAGCTGGGGTGTGAGGGTAGCTGGGGTGTGAGGGTAGCTGGGGTGTGAGGGTAGCTGGGGTGTGAGGGTAGCTGGAGTGTGAGGGTAGCTGGGGTGTGTGGGTAGCTGGGGTGTGAGGGTAGCTGGGGGTGTGAGGGTAGCTGGGGTGTGAGGGTAGCTGGGGTGTGAGGGTAGCTGGGGTGAGGGTAGCTGGGGTGTGAGGGTAGGGTAGCTGGGGTGTGAGGGTAGGGGTGTGTGGGTAGCTGGGGTGTGAGGGTAGCTGGGGTGTGTAGCTGGGGTGTGAGGGTAGCTGGGGTGTGTAGCTGGGGTGAGGAGGGTAGCTGGGGTGTGTGCTGGTGGTGAGGCTGGAGGGTAGCTGGGGTGTGGGGTAGCTGGGGTGTGGGTAGCTGGGGTGGGTAGCTGGGGTGTGAGGGTAGCTGGGGTGTGGGGTAGCTGGGGTGTGAGGGTAGCTGGGGTGTGTGGGTAGCTGGGGTGTGAGGGTAGCTGGGGTGTGAGGGTAGCTGGGTGAGGGTAGCTGGGGTGTGAGGGTAGCTGGGGTGTGAGGGTAGCTGGGGTAGCTGGTGTGAGGGTAGCTGGGGTGTGTGGGTAGCTGGGTGTGAGGTAGCTGGGTGTGAGGGTAGCTGGGGTGTGAGGGTAGCTGGGGTGTGTGGGTAGCTGGGGTGTGAGGGTAGCTGGGGTGTGAGGGTAGTGGGGTGTGAGGGTAGCTGGGGTGTGAGGGTAGCTGGGGTGTGAGGGTAGCTGGGGTGTGAGGGTAGCTGGGGTGTGTGGGTAGCTGGGGTGTGAGGGTAGCTGGGGTGTGAGGGTAGCTGGGGTGTGAGGGTAGCTGGGGTGTGTGCTGGGGTGAGGGTCGCTGGGGTGTAGGGTAGCTGGGGTGTGAGGGTAGCTGGAGGTGAGGTGTGTGTGGTAGCTGGGGTGTGAGGGTAGCTGGGGTGTGAGGGTAGCTGGGGTGTGTGGGTAGCTGGGGTGTTGTGGGTAGCTGGGGTGTGTGGGTAGCTGGGGTGTGAGGGTAGCTGGGGTGTGGGGTGTGGGGTAGCTGGGGTGTGAGGGTAGCTGGGTGTGTGGGTAGCTGGGGTGTGAGGGTAGCTGGGGTGTGTAGGGTAGCTGGGGGTAGCTGTGTGAGGGTAGCTGGGGTGTGAGGGTAGCTGGGTGTGAGGGTAGCTGGGGTGTGAGGGTAGCTGGGGTGTGAGGGTAGCTGGGGTGTGAGGGTAGCTGGGGTGTGAGGGTAGCTGGGGTGTGAGGGTACCTGGGGTGTGAGGGTAGCTGGGGTGTGAGGGTAGCTGGGGTGTGAGGGTAGCTGGGGTGTGAGGGTAGCTGGGGTGTGATGGTAGCTGGGGTGTGTGGGTAGCTGGGGTGTGTGTGAGGGGTAGCTGGGGTGTGAGGTAGCTGGGGTGTGTGGGTAGCTGGGGTGTGAGGGTAGCTGGGGTGTGTGGGTAGCTGGGGTGTGAGGGTAGCTGGGGTGTGAGGGTAGCTGGGGTGTGTGGGTAGCTGGGGTGTGTGGGTAGCTGGGGTGTGTGGGTAGCTGGGGTGTGGGTAGGGGTAGCTGGGGTGTGAGGGTAGCTGGGGTGTGAGGGTAGCTGGGGTGTGAGGGTAGCTGGGGTGTGAGGGTAGCTGGGGTGTGAGGGTAGCTGGGGTGTGTAGGTAGGGGTAGCTGGGGTGTGAGGGTAGCTGGGGTGTGTGGGTAGCTGGGGTGTGAGGGTAGCTGGGGTGTGAGCTGGTAGCTGGGGTGTGTGTAGCTGGGGTGTGAGGGTAGCTGGGGTGTGAGGGTAGCTGGGGTGTGGGGGTGTGGGGTAGCTGGTGTGGGTGCTGGTAGCTGGGGTGTGTGGGTAGCTAGGGTGTGTGGGTAGCTGGGGTGTGAGGGTAGCTGGGGTGTGTGGGTAGCTGGGGTGTGTGGGTAGCTGGGGTGTGAGGGTAGCTGGGGTGTGAGGGTAGCTGGGGTGTGTGGGTAGCTGGGGTGTGAGGGTAGCTGGGGTGTGAGGGTAGCTGGGGTGTGTGGGTAGCTGGGGTGTGTGGGTAGCTGGGGTGTGAGGGTAGCTGGGGTGTGGGGGTGCTGTGGGTGTGGGTAGCTGGGGTGTGAGGGTAGCTGGGGTGTGAGGGTTGCTGGGGTGAGGGTAGCTGGGGTGTGGGGTAGCTGGGGTGTGAGGGTAGCTGGGGTGTGAGGGTAGCTGGGAGTGGTGAGGGTAGCTGGGGGGTGTGAGGGTAGCTGGGGTGTGAGGGTAGCTGGGGTGTGAGGGTAGCTGGGGTGTGAGGGTAGCTGGGGTGTGAGGGTAGCTGGGGTGTGAGGGTAGCTGGGGTGTGAGGGTAGCTGGGGTGTGAGGGTAGCTGGGGTGTGAGGGTAGCTGGGGGTGTGAGGGTAGCTGGGGTGTGAGGGTAGCTGGGGTGTGTGGGTAGCTGGGGTGTGAGGGTAGCTGGGGTGTGAGGGTAGCTGGGTGTGAGGGTAGCTGGGGTGTGTGGGTAGCTGGGGTGTGAGGGTAGCTGGGGGGTGTGTGGGTAGCTGGGGTGTGAGGGTAGCTGGGGTGTGAGGGTAGCTGGGGTGTGAGGGTAGCTGGGGTGTGTGGGTAGCTGGGGTGTGAGGGTAGCTGGGATGTGAGAGGTAGCTGGGGTGTGAGGGTAGAGGGGTGTGAGGGTAGCTGGGGGGGTATGTGAGAGGTAGCTGGGTGGGGGTGTGAGGGTAGCTGGGGTGTGAGGGTAGCTGGGGTGTGAGGGTAGCTGGGGTGTGAGAGGTAGCTGGGGTGTGAGGGTAGCTGGGGTGTGAGGGTAGCTGGGGTGTGAGGGTAGCTGGGGTGTGTGGGTAGCTGGGGTGTGTGAGGGTAGCTGGGGTGTGTGAGTAGCTGGGGTGTGTGGGTAGCTGGGGTGTGTGGGTAGCTGGGGTGTGAGGGTAGCTGGGGTGTGTGGGTAGCTGGGGTGTGAGGGTAGCTGGGGTGTGTGGGTAGCTGGGGTGTGAGGGTAGCTGGGGTGTGAGGGTAGCTGGGGTGTGAGGGTAGCTGGGGTGTGAGGGTAGCTGGGGTGTGAGGTAGCTGGGGTGTGAGCGGGTAGCTGGGGTGTGAGGGTAGCTGGGGTGTGAGGGTAGCTGGGTGTGAGGGTAGCTGGGGTGTGAGGGTAGCTGGGGGTGTGTGAGTAGCTGGGGTGTGAGGGTAGCTGGGGTGTGAGGGTAGCTGGGGTGTGGGGTAGCTGGGGTGTGAGGGTAGCTGGGTGTGAGGGTAGCTGGGGTGTGAGGGTAGCTGGGGTGTGAGAGTAGCTGGGGTGTTACTGGGTCCGCTGGGGGTGTGAGGGTAGCTGGGGTGGTGAGGAGTAGCTGGGGGTGGGTGGGTAGCTGTTGGGTGTGTGGGTAGCTTTGGGATGTGAAGAGTAGCTTGTGGGGTAGTGTGGGTTAGCTAGCTGGGGTGTGAGTGGTACTGGGGTGTGTGGGTAGGGTAGCTGGGTGTGAGGGTACTAGCTGAGATGTGATGGGTATGTGAGGTTGCTGGGATTGGGTGATGGGTAGCTCTGGTATGAGAGGGGGTAAGCTGGGGTGTGGGGAAAGTTACCATGTGAGGGTTAGCTGGGTTGAGGGGTATTGGGAGGTTGTGGTGGGTAAGCTGGGTGTGTGGTAGCTGGGGGTGGTGTGAGGGTAGCTTTTGGGTGGTGCGGTGTGCGTAAAGCTAGGTTGTGAGGGTAGGCTGGGGTGTGAGGGTTGCTGGGGTGTGAGGGTGGCTGGTGGTGTGGGGGTAGCTGGCAGGTGTGTGGGTAGCTGGGTGTGCGGGGTAGCTGGGTGTGAGGGTAGCTGGGGTGTGAAGGTAGCTGGAGTGTGGGTTAGTTGGGGTGTGGAGGGTAGCTGGGGTGTGTGGGTAGCTGTGGTGTGACACTGTGAGGGTGCTGGGATGTGGGGGTAGCTGGGGTGTGTGGGTAGCTTTGGGTGTGAGGGTACCTGGGGTGTGTGGG